TAAAGAATAATAATAATAATTTAAAAATTTTAATTGACAACAAAAAGATAAATTACTCATAATGTAAAAAACAACAAAAATTAAAAATATACACCAAATAAAACAATAAAATAGCATTGATAGACAAAGAAGTTTGGTTTTTTGTTGTTTGAAAAATTAAAAATATAGTTGTGGTTTACCTTATTCATTTTAAACACTCTTTTCAATAGATTATTAAAATATGTAACTGTATACATCAACTTGTCAAGAGTCAACAACAAACAATTGATTAAACAGTCCATATATTTGACAATAAGTTAGATAACAATATAAAAATATGTGGATTATTTGTAGTGGAGGGAAATTGTTTTTAAAACAATAATATATTTGACACTAAAAACTGTTTTAATGATTGCTTGTTATATTTTAATTTCTTTTGATAAAAACTCTTCAAAAGATTACTCACAATATGGTAAATACCAAAAGATGAAAAAAAAATATATTATAGACAGAAAAAACAGTCAAAAATCTTGCTACATCGTATTGTCTGAAAAAACACACAGTTAATAGAATGGATTTTTTTGAAAAATTTTTATTTTTTATGAAGACTATTACAGATAGAAGAATTATTGGTTGTCATAGAAAAAGTGGTTGTCATGAAAATAATGTTATTATAAACAAAAATGTTTTTATATTCATTATTATTAATAATATAGATGATAAATGCCTAATAAATAATAAAAAAAACTGATAATAATATTTCTTCATGGAAAATGAAAATATGCCTGTTAACCCAGTTATGGACAATGATATTCACGTTGTTGTTCCATTGAAATTGGTCGATATAATGAGTCCAAAATTCATTGAAAATCATCCAGAAAGCAAAATTCAACAAGATAGCAGTAAAATAATTCAGTTAATCGAAGGGTTAAATAACAAAGAAGAAATGTTCAAACACATAAACGAAGCAGAAAAATCAATAAAAGAACAACATAAAATATATTTCTCTCAAAATGATATAGAGAATGCCCGCAACATTTCAAATTTTCTTTGTGATGATGAATATTTTTTCCAACTTCCCTCAAGACGCGAACAAATTGGTGTCATATTTGCGATATTTGAAAAATGCCAAGGAGCTTCAAACCGATCTGTTGGTATTCTGTTTGGTATTCATCACAATTCAGTCAGAAAAGAAAGTCTTGAATACAAAAAAGATTGCAAAATGGGGAGACGACAAACTGGAAGACCTTCTCTATTCGACGAACGATTAACTATCATAACCAAAGCTTTTGTGAATTATTGTTCAACTCAGAAACTGGCATTAACTGTTGGGTCATTTGCTTCTGTTGCTAAAATGGTAACGGGATACAATTTTAAACGAGATACATTGCGTAAATGGGTTATTAGATCATTTGAACTTAAATCTGTAACAGGATCACCAGAAGAACTTGGACGCTTGTTTATCGAGCCCAAAGATATCTTGGAGAATTACTTAAATCTTACACAATTTAATGGGTTTGATATGCGTTTTGTATTTAATGTGGATGAGATTGGGTTTCAAGATTTTGCAGATAGTACATCAGTTAAGGTGTTTGTTCCAAAAACTGCGGACGTTTCAAAAATTAAGATTGGTGTTGGAAGGTCAGGGAAACGGTCGAGTGTCATATGTATGATTTGTTTGGATGGAAGTCTGGTTTGTCCTGGTATGGTTATTACAAACCAAAAAATTCATATTGATGTATTGAGAAGGTTTCCGGATGTTAGTTTCTTCCAGAGTCAAACTGGATTCGTCACCAAACAAATATTCAGTGATTGGCTGCTTTTGGTTGTTGTTCCTTTTATAGAGACAAAAAGATTTCTTTTCCATTTATCTCGAGATACCTGGGCGTTGATAACATTGGATGGGTTCAGTGGACACGACTTCGAAACATTGAAGGATATACTCCTTGACCATTACATCATTCTTCACAAATACACTGCCCATTGTTCACATCTCATCCAGCCCTTGGATTTGTGTTTCTTTGGTAACTGGAAGAAGAAATGTAGTACAATAACGCCCATTTACAGAACAAGTGTTTCTTCTTCTTTTTTGCCTTCGCACTATCAACAACATCCAGAACAACAGAATAGCGAAGAAATTGGATCACAAAGTTTAGTATCAGCAATGAAAGATCTTGTTGAAACACTGACAAATAATAACAATATTTCGGCAGACGCTTTGCGAGACAAAGGAAAACGACTTCAATCTGGTGAACGTTTGAAAAATTCTATAATAAAAACACTTAATGCGTTAGATGCTGCAAACACACATGAAGCAGTAATAAGTTCTTTTGAAAGAGCGGGAATGACAACACGATACATAGGAGGAAAGTTTAAGTTTTTCGTCAATATTCAGTCTGCAACAAGACTTATAAACGAATTTCAGACTTATTTCGAACAAAACGTGTTTTCTAACACTTCTTTAATTAGCAAACTCACTGCCCCAAACAATGATTTGAAGATGATCCCAATTGCACAATTGTCCCCGAAACATAAGAAAATGACAAATGAAGAAATATTGGGTCATCTGGATACAATATCAAATATGATCACTGAAGAGGGTTTGGATGAATGTGGCTACTCAATGATTAAATCTTCTCTCAAAACTTTATGCACCTACAAACCTGTTTATCACAATCAAACTGGTTATCAATTTATGCCCCCTCTTCCACTTATTCACCCAAGAATACAAATCCCCAACATTGATGAGTTTGATCTCGAAAATGATGATTGGATTGACCTTGAATATGGGTCTCATTACAATACTGAGGATGAATAACGATAAATTATTAATTTTGAGTTTTTGTTTTTAATAAATTTTATTTTGCTTTTTAAGTTTGACAACCACTTTCTAAAAAATCAATCCAAACTACCACAGGCTTCCCGTAAATTTGCTTGTTAAACAACTAACAATTTATAATTAATAAAAATAAATATATAAAAATACTTTTTTATACTCTTGACGACTACTTTTTCTATGACAACCACTTTTTCTTGCATCTGTATGTACATATATTTTGTGTGTGTTTTTAATTATCACTGATGTGTTCATGTATCTTTTGCAATTTGTATTTCATTTCAACTCAAAACCAATAGTTTTTTTGTTTAGTGTATAAAAAACATATTTGTTTGTTTTGAAATAAATGTTATTGCATTTTACCATTATTTTTATTTTGCCATTTTTTTTACGTTTTTGTCATAAAATTTTATTTTTTTTTCATTTTTTTCGCAATTTATTTGTTTATTAGTTCAAAATTTGAACTCGTTATTCCATTTTCATTTTACTACAATTGAACTACACTGTATAATATAATTTTTTTCAAAAAAACAAAAACACTGCTCTTTTTAACAGTATTGGTTTGTTGGGGATTAGGTATGTCGGCGAGTTAATATTTAAGAATTTTATATAATGTTTTTATAAAATCAAAATTATTTAACTCTTTTTAATTTTTTTATTATATAAATCAATTATTAGTTTAATAATAAAATTTTAGCAAAAAAAATTATATTCAATAACCAATTCTATTACTATTTTTAATAGCATTAATTAACAATTTAAAACAATAGTTGCTTATTAGTTAAAAAAATGATTAACAATAACAAGAGTTACAACTCAAGAACTTTGTATGTAAGAATTAATGTGAATGGTAAGTGTCACAAATTGATAGATAAGATCAGCATAGCACCTAGCCATTGCCTCTTTGTTGATAAATATAGGGACACCATCCAATCCATTTCCTTCAAATTTAGTAAAGTTATTATAAAGAGTAGTTTCATAGAGTTCAAGTTGTTGTTCAAACAAAAGAGATGGCAAATTATTAGTAGTCGACTTCTTATAAAGTTCGCAGATCTTTTTGAACATATTAAGGCGCTTTTGTATATCGGCAGCACACAACCGAACACCATCAGGTTGGTTAATGATATTTAAAATAGCTTCTTTGATGGTCGGTTTTAATTGTTTGAGCGTATCGACTTTGACTTTTGTTGTTGTGTTGTTATTTTGTGGGATATCAACAGTGATTTCCATGATATAAATATTACTAGTTTCTTTGTTAATGAAATATTCATATGATGTTTATTTTTACCCGGCATCCCATGTCTGGGTGTCTTTTTGAATAGAATTTATATAGTTTAAATTAATCATTTAAATAGTTTTAGATGGTTCTTGAAAAAACGAAAGGCACTGGAAGACAAGAACCAAATACACATACACAATGTATAATTTGCCGTTTTTTTATCATTTGCACTTCACACAAAAATAAAAGAACCCCAAACTATAAAATTACAATAAAATAATCATAAATAAACTATTAATTAAACCAAAGAAAAAAAGAAAACACTTGGCAACTCGAGCCAAAAAAGACCAAAAAAGTGGACGGTTAAACATCCAAATAACTTGTTTTTCAGATGTCAGTCTCAGGGAAACAAATACCCAAAAAGAGGACCTTTGACGAGTTCATTAGTGGGAGTTTGTGTATAGAGTCACGAGACGACATGGTCGAGTTTTTCGAGGATATCGAGCGATTTATTTTTCAGATCTCTCCCACCCGTCGCACCGTGTCGGTCTCGTCGCGCGACCAACTTTCGAAGAAGTCTCTGAGCGATTGGTTAAAGGCAAACAGTGAGATGATAGGTCAAATGCTCTCATCTGAGATTGCTGATGGTAGTGTGTTTAAATCGGCTTCTACAACAGTGTCTTTCATGCTCGAACTCAAAATTCTTAAAGATGGTCTTCTACTCACTTGGCTCTCTAAAGCTGTTCATCAAACATTCTTTAGTGATGTATCAAATATGCTCTTAGATGTGGTGCAATATCTTTCGAATGAAGAAGCTGAGGATATTTTCAAGACGATGAGAGAATGGAAAGGTCGCCCTGATGTCTTTGTCCCATTACTAAAAACGTACGTTATAAAATGTAGTAAGTATGGCTTCAAATTTGCGAGCAAAGAAAAGATGATCCCCGTCGTTCAGAAGTGGGTGAAAGGCTGTTATCGACCGAGTGAAAGTGATTGGTGGATCAATTCATTAGAAGAAATAGCCGAGTTGTTACAAGCGAAGAGTGTAGATGACTTTTTAAGTGAGAGTGTAGAACAGTATATTAATGTGAAGAATAACATTATTGTGACAACAAAAGTAGTCACAATAGCAATGAAAGTTAGAGGGGAATATAGTGGGTTAGAACGGGAATTATTATTTTTAAAAAAGGTTGTTGAAGTATTAGAAACGTCTGATAAGGATGAGAGTGTTATAGTTCCCACATTAGAATTATTAAAAGTTTATATAGAAAACACACATATTAATTTGAATGCTGCAATTTTAGTTCAAATCTGTACGATTATGTCGGACGTTTTAGATAAGACGGACATGTTATTCAAATTTTTGAATGAAAGTGTCGTGAAAGAAAAAAAATCTCCCCCACAAGAAATTAGCACGTCTTTAATGACTTTCCTGGAAGGGCATATTTCGTCTATTGACTCCCAAAATGGAATGATTTGCCTGCAACGTGTCATCGTCCATTACAATTCTACTATAACTAAAACTATCGTTTTTTCAGACGAAAAAATAGAAGTTGTTGACAAAACGGGAAATGGAAAAGTCCATGGTATCCATTTGTTATGGGAAGTCGCAATAGCTAATAAGAACTTATATTTACCTATAGTGGATTATATGGCAAAATTCTTTTGTAATGTCCCAATGACCATATGCCCCTTTGTTGTTGACACGTTTACATCTTTATGTACGTCGACAGATACAGTTTACTTAGTCAAGACGTTAATTTTGTTTATAGAAAAGACTAAAGAGTTGATTAAAGACTCAACAGGTAAAAATACGGTAGACGTTTATTTAGAAGAGGACAATGATAATCCATTGAACTGTACGGAGTTCAAAAGTAGTTTGCAGTCCGTGAATAGTAAACCAGATGATTCTATAAAAGAAATTATTAAAAACTCAAATACCTTCCTTGATAACTTTGTTCTTTCAAAAAGAATAGTTTTTCTTAGGACTTTTAACTGCGAAGATTTGGGAAGATTGCGCCTATTAGTCACCAAAAAGTTGAAAAGTTTAGTCACCGAAAACAAAGCAAAAATCCCAAAGGCGTTCGAATTCGTCCAAAGCGTTGACGAGGAGGAATTGATCGGAAGAGTCTACTTTTACAACAAAGAAAATATTTTAACGGACGAAAAAAACTCAAATCTTGGCAAAGAAGTGACGATAAAATTCGGCGAATACACACCCGTCATCTATCAGGAACACCGCGACGAAATGGTGAAAAAAATTCGATGTACTAATAAAAAACTAGTTGAAAAACTAATATCTATAATACAGTCTAACACTCAAGTCGTCGCATATTCGTGTTGGCTTCTCTTAGAAGTGTTGTTCGACTTCATCTCGGAGTTAACCGATTTGAATTCCGCTCTATCAGAAATCACAACAAAACCCACAGACGCAAGTATACTCCCAGCCCTTGCTTTTGTCGTCAAGTCCTTAACCACAGAGAACAAAAATTCGCTCGCTATTTTAGAGGACAATTTTGCGAGCATTTTGAATTTAACGAGCTCGTTAATAAAACAAAGTCAACATGAAAAAACGACGATTGGCGGAGTTATTATCGAGCAACTCAGTCACATAGTTTGGCATGTTTTCTGTCGTGTTAAAAACCTAAGGAGCTCGATGGATTTTGAAAATGTTTTATCAGATGAGTTTTTGACGTATATTGATAGTGAGTTACAAAGATATTCGAAGACGAACGAAGCGATGGAAATGACAAGGAAATACACGACACTGATGTATATGAGTTTTTTATTCAGCGGAATGATATATAATAACAACAACTGCTTCTACGAAAGATTTGTGTACTATCTGAAGGAAAAGGATAAGCCTAACGACTTGAACGAACTCTTGAAACTCATTTGGTGGTATGACGATGAAAGATCAAAGAAATATATTATCAAGTTCTACGAGATGTTCTTTAATAACAACCTCGAAACGTCGGGATATTACTGTGTTTTAAAGGAAATCGTTCCACGGTACCTCTCACTCAATGGTGAATCTCAAGTCCTCAACACTTTGTGCGAAAATATATTAAATAGGTTGTTGAATTATATCGAAACTAATAACAAAAATGTGAAGAATGTCCAGGGTTTAGTCGAGTTAATACAGTTGGCAAATTTAATTGTGCAAAGCTGCCCTCGTTACGCACAAACACTCAATCTCGGATTCTCATATCTTCCATTCCTCAACGCGTTTCTTTTTCCTCTTGTGATTGATGATTTTTCAGATCAGTTCCCGCGGTGCAAAAGTCAAGAAATGCGGAAAGCAGGCTTTGACTTTGTGATGGAAATAACAAATGACGACTTCAGATTGAAATTGCTCCTGTCTCATTTGTGCAAATTTTTTTCATTCCACACACGACAGAAATTACAGTTTTCCCCTCCACTCATCAAAGGAAAGCCAAAACTTGTCGAAGTCATTTATCAGTTCTCGTCATTTTTCTCTTCTCAATTTTTGACGCAAAGATTCAAAATTCCAGAACGTAGCCAAATTAATAACCCCAAAATTGAAAACGTTTTGGATGAAGTCCAAAAAGTCGTCCTTAAACTTCAGTCCACGCCTGACGAAATTTGTACCACAGAGTCACTTGAACGTCTTTTATCTGATGACTTCAGTGAGTCATGTGAAGACACGGTACACATCTTACACACGTTCTTTGACATACTGAAAAACTCTGAGTCCTCGGAATTCTCCGGTGCTATTTCAATCTTAAAGCACAGTGAAAACAACTTCTCGATATCTCAAGAAATAGCAAAACAAACAGCCCATCTAGTCTTCTTAAGTTTAGAGGAAGATGATATCGAGGAGGCTGTATCTTTAACGAAAATAACTCCTGTCGAATCCAACTTTGAGTACTATTTATATGGAACAATTGGCAGCGATTCGTCACAATTTCAAATAGATGGGACTTGGTTTTATTATGGAAATAATCGCATTGATCGTGTTGAGTCTGTCTGTGTCAAGAAGCGGAGCTCTGCGGTATTTGTTTACCGCAAAATAAAGATCGAAAAGGATCCAACGAAGAAAGTCAAGTTTTCTTTCAAGAACGAAGTGATGATGTTCGAACAAGCGTTTCAGAATTTTGTTTATGGGATAACAGTCAAAGCCGAAGCACTAGTGCCGTATGAGACTTTACAATTTGTCTTCTTTTATTTCGACGTTGTTTACTTGCGTTTGCCCCGCCTCCCTTTGGCGTCCAAATGGAATGTCACGTTCCACGAATTGTACGATATGACGCAGAACGATGAGTGGGTACTCACGCGTTTCAATGACGTTCAGTTGTTGGACACTTATTCAAGATGTCGAAGCCCTGAAATCCGTGCGGCAGTTTACGATTTGCTTCACACCATTATCGAAAAGAATTTCAATGACGACGTCGAGAAGAACAAACGCCTGAAGATCGAAGAATTTATTAAAACGTGTTTGTTGTGTATAGAAAGTTCTCCCTCGTTTTTGGTAGTCGAGTTGTTTGACTTCTACGCCGTCAACTCGTTCAAAGAAATGAATTATGTCGTTGCAGAACTTAATTGCTTCGAGCGTATCTTAAAAATTGTGAAAAGCAAAAACGGAACCTTTTTACCCAACAACTGCGCCGCATCGTTATTACGGACGTTCTATACGTTATACGTGAATTGTGAATTTGGTGAGATCAAAGATGGTAACAAACGTGTATCAAAGCAGTTGGTCCATTTGGACAACGACCGATTTATGGACGATACGGAGTTTTTGTATGCAATTACTAAGTTTGAAGTTACCAATTTGTTCTTGGAGGAATTCATGAGAGTCACGTTTCTTGGTAACGTCGAGAGGACGACTAATTTCTTGTTGAAGTTCTTTCAGAATTTGGAGGAAGTGTCAATGCCACAAATAGTATTTTTGAAAAACCTCTTTAAGATCAACGAACGAATGTCCAATGAAATGGCAAAGGCTCTCAACAAGTCACTGAAAGTATCTCTTCAAAAAATCACATGTCTACAAGAAGCTGTTAATATCGCAAACGAAATCATCATCCTTTCGGAATTGTCGAGTTCTGTTGTTGCTGCATTCAAAAACAGTACAAAGCAAATCAATGATGCGCTCAATGTTTACGCTCTGAAAATCGTGTTTGTGTAACTTATCTTTTTTATTTCTTTTTGATATGAATTTATTATATAAACTAATATAATGTTAGCTAATATCTTTAATTATTCCAAAAATTTACTAATTTCATTAATTCATTTTATTAAAGAATTGTACAAATTGTTTTTACTATAATTTCTAATAATTAATAGTATTTTGAAAAAATCAAAAAGCAGACAAATATTTTCACTTGTTTTTTCTTTCTTATTTCTTTTCAAAAACGAAATAAAAACATACTAAAAAATTGTATTTACCGATTCTAAATTAGAATAGTTTTTATTAATTATAAATATTAAAGTTGAAAGATTTTTTGAATTCGAAATGAATAACAAAACAACCCAATTTTTTGAAAAAATGTTATTTGATTGGTGTAATGCAAAATTGATAATTCTTAACCAAAAAAACTAATATTTGTTTTTTTACAAATTCTTAAGTAATTTCCTGTGTTATTATAATTCAAATAATAATATTTATCTTCAAAGAGGTGTAAAGATAACACCTTTCATCGCTTTGCTGATGCAAAAAATACTTCAGAGAAACCAGTAAAAGTAAAAAAATACAAAACAGAAGTTACAAAGGTAGGCACTGAGCTATAAACGTTCTCCCAAGTTTTTGTGTTAATGTAAAGTCGTTTTTGAAGAAACTTGCTGTTTTGGATGTTTTCAGTATTTCATTGAAAAAGGTGTTAATTTCCCTTCCCATGTGTTGTATTTGATTTCTGTCGAACACCAAGACACCGTTATAAAATATCTCAGAGACGCGTTCGAGGCGAAACGACTTCGACGACTTCTTCGACAATTTTGTGTTGAAGAAGAAGCCCAACTCGCTTAAGACGTCGATCATATAGTTGTTCACATAAGCACTTGCACTCTTCGCCGTCCTCCGTTTGACTGTTTTCTCCTTCAGTTTCTTCTTCTCCGTGTCAGACGTCAGTTTCAGTGTTAAGTCTTCTGCTTTCTTTCTAATATCGACCGAGTACTCACCAAATTTTATTTTGGTCACTTTTGGTAAGGTACACGTGATGGTCGACTCTTTGCCAGGTCGTTCTATCTCAAAGGAGCAATATCTGTTTAAGAGAGCCAAGACAACAGCTTGTTGGTAACATAACATGTCTTTGAACTCATTGTCGCGTTTCAGAGTGTTCTGGGTGGACATTTGAATGCGTGTGATCTGACTTTCCACAGTCTGAGTTCTTTTTATATAACGATGGAAGTTGGGGAAAGCGCTATTTTTGAACATACTAACCACCGTCCTTCCAAGTACAGAGGTGGTGCAACGTGGAATTTGGAAGATTCTTGGACACCGTCTTTTACTCTTTTATTTGGAATTAACGGGTAGAGGTTCTGAAAAGACTAATGTGCTTGATAATCCATTCGTCATTCAAAATATTTTGAATGTTTTTATTACTTCGTGATAATGAAAACAGCTAAGATTTTAGATTACACTCAGATGAATTCAAGGAATTAAAAAATGAGAAGCAAAACTTGTTGAGTGGTGAATCAATAATTTAAGCAATTTTGGTCTCGGGGTACTACTGATCAAACAACAAAACTAGTATTTATAGTTTTTTTATTACTTGTTTTTATCTTTCGTTGACTGGGGTAACATTCACCAGTTTTCTGTTTTTCTATTTGTTCATTAATACTTGGGTTATTTATATTCTGTGTTTACCATTGAGTTGATTTTGTCATTATTTAAAAACAAATTTTCTTCATTTATGAAAGTTCGGATAATCCATTTTTGCTAATGTTTATCTCACTTTAACGATTCTCTGGGTTTCAAGACTATTTTTTATTGATATAATAATGATGTCTGCATGTATATTTGATCGTACGCATTTCTGTCATTTGGGTCAAAGCTTTAAAAACTTTTAAAGTTAATTTCATTGAAAAAATCGTTTAAATTAACGATTCATTAATCCCCACAAATTGGATTAACTCCACTTTAACTATTTAAAGTTATATCAGCCAAATTTTAACTGATAGAACGGGGAAACCCAACAATGTGACCCCCAGTTTTAAAAATAAGAACAATTAATTTATTAATTACATAACAATATTGTTTTTCATAAGGGTTCTTTGACATATTATTGGGCTACAATTTCTTGTTTTGCGAAAAAACAATTGTGGGGTATTCACTTTTGGCACCAAAGACCCAAAGGTTTCAAAAATGCATTTTTGGCTTCCTTCCTTATTTTGTTGCACTTTTTACAACTTATTTAAAAAATATTATTAATAAATGGTTATATCTATATTTTTTACTAATTAAATCAATCTTTGAGTAAAAAGACCAAAAATTCATTTCTGTGGGGACAATTCAATACTAATTCAAAAGTTTTTTATTTTTTTTGTTATTGAAACTTTATTCGAAAATCAGTAAATAGTTTTTTATAGTATTAAAATAATTATTTAAGATTATTTTTTTATTAGTATTTCATAATTGTTTTCTTCTTTGTTTTAATTTATAATAGTTTATAGTTCATATTATTATAAAAAGTGTTATGACATTTTGTAAATAATCTATTGGGTAATATAATATTTTCAATAATTATATTTAAATACTGTGAATCTATCGAATTAATTAATTGTATATTATAATAATACTATATTAAAGTAATAATAAATATATTATATATTATAAAAATATAATATATTTTTTATTTTTTACTAATAATTATTTTATTAATATTATTTTAATTATAAACTATAATATATTTTTCAAAATAATATTATAACTAAAATACTAATATTACTAAATATTTATTTTAATAAAAATATCATTTGTATTAATTTAACATCATTAATTAAATTCTTAAAAATAATAATATTTTTTATAATATATATTGTACAAAAGAAGACAAAACTAAAATAAAATACATTTGTTATAAATTATTAAATAAAACAATGATAGAAAAAATTAAAACGAATAAATGAATAAATGAACTCAATAAATGAAATGTCACTTGAGAATAAAAGGAGTTTGAATGAAACGTACTTCTTTGGAAATAGCAACCTATACAAAAGAGATATAGATCAAGTCAAATGTGAGGTGAAAACACTTGAATTGGAAAACCTTTCAAAAAACGTCGTGTTTACCGGCGAGTTGGTTGGGAAGCGCCTGAACTTTGAAGTTGAAATTCCTCAAGACTTAGCAGGGAAGTTCTGTGTGAGTCTGTCTGCTTTTGGGCAGACAGACACCATACAACACTATCCAAAGTTGTTTTACTTGGGAAAAGGGACGTCAGTTAGTTACTTTGAGTTATCTGAGAATGGCCATTACTCTTTGAACTTAATGCAAGAGACTGACGTTGTCAAGTCAATCATTTTTTCGTTCAACACGCAACGAATCAAATTGGATATCAACGATCGCCTTGTCACTATAACTTTGGACGACTTTCGATCGATTGGAGGCGATACAATTGTTGTATACAAAGAACCTAAGTACGACCTCGTGTTGAAGAAATCCAAAATCATTCGGCAGAAACGGCTGTTGGAAAACGTTCGAATGACCTCGACAAACTTTAAGAACATCGATTTCATTATGGACCCCGGAATGTATTTGGTGTGCTACTATCGAACTCTCAATGTCACTACAGTAAGCCCCCCAATCGCTTACTCTTTTTTTAATTTTCCAAAATAAGTGTTGTATTTTTGTTCCTTAAGTTTCCGTTCGTTTTGCACATCACTCATAATTTAATCATAACAACTCTTATTATCATTATTATTATAACTTCATTATTCAATTAAATCTCTTTTGTGAGAAGTGAAAAGTAGATTTTGTGAGGGAGGAAAGATCAACCGTTTAAGGGTCGAAATATGGAGGAATTTACTTTTATAAAATTATGAAGGAACTCGACACACCAAAATTAACAGACAGGCCCCAACCACACGTGTCGAATATCATCGAGAAGAAACTTAAAAGGATGAAACAACCCGATGACACATCAAGTTATTTGACACTTGACCTAACTGTCTCAATTAATCCTTTTGCATTTAAAAGAAAACCAATGGTTAAAACAAAAAGAGAAAAAGTTTCGAGTAGATACATCTCAGTGTTTATTGACGACTTTTATCTAGAAACAAACCTCTTGGATGACCTGATTCTGAAAACATTTGAGGTAAAAAAAAAGGAAAAAATGATCGAGCTTAAATGTAGCGAGAATTGCTTTGAAAAAATTAAAATCAATGAAGCGCAAACAAAGTACTACGAACTACCAACGCAATTTCCTTTTCTCAGAGTGGAAAAAAAGTTTTTAGAAAAAACGGGAGAGTTATGTTTTAACATTTACATCGAAGATGTCGTTAATGAAGAACCAATTTTGGATTTCTGGAACACTTTGTTTTATCTTCCTGACTTCACACTTCCACCAGACAATTCTTTTATTTGGAGATATGACAATGAAACGAAAGATCATCGTTTTAACATTTCTATTTGCACAGACACACTTTTTATGAAGAAAACGTTTTTTAACAATGAAGCACAGTTTCGACCCAAAAAACAGTTTGTAGAAATCGAATCACCAATTTTTCTTGATGAAAAATTGGTGATGAAAGACCTTCAAGTTAACGGCGTTGTTATATCAAACAAAGAAAGTCGTTGGGGAGAGATGATCGCAAAAGAGATGTTAAATATTACAAGAATTGAAGACAACCAAAATTTGGTCAACAGCTTTTCGGAAACAAAAGGTATTGAAATACCAAAAATGGACGACTTTTCGTGTTCGGTGTTGTTCCCCTTTATCACAAAGAAATTTTTCATTAACGACTACAACATGGCCGAATTCGATTTGAACACAGTCCCATTCAAGATAAAGGTTGTCGCTAATGCAACATACCAAATGACAGAAGTCGGTTTATTTCCCGAGGTTTTCAAACAAAAAAACTCGACCCAACAATTCAACGTCCAAACTCAAAAAAGACAAATAAATGAAAAAGAAGATGACTTTTTAGTTGGAAGGAGTCAAACTGATGGAGTTGCCAATCTTTTGCATTGCAACGAAATGTACTATGCCAACAGAGACAAGGATTGCCAAAAACTAAGCGACAAGGAGATTGAAGAAATAATGGACGAATCCTCTCTCTTGGAAATTCAAACAACAAACCTGCAATTAAAAGGAAATAAGAGCATTTCAAAAAAGTCACAAATACTCGAAAACCCCAAAACTTTGTTTTTGTCTTCTCCAAGTGTAAGGGTACAGAACTCAACAGCAAAACTACAAGAAACAGACAAACAAGTCAATTCATGTATTCTGAAAAGCGACAATTTGGTCCAAACACCTTCAGACATAAGCGACAGCGAAATAGATGAAATACTTGACGAAATTCGCACTGTAAAATCTGCTGTTTCAAAGCACCAGAAGAGCGTTAAGGTTGTTCTCCCAGTTCTTCAAGAAAACATTCAACACGAAAGTAAATTCAAATGCAACAGGAGACCTGCCGTCTTCCAGCTTAAGAACCCCAAAAACGATTTGCAAAAGGCGATGTTTCTTGTTGGAGACGACGTGTTTGTTGTGCCGTTCGCGGACGAACTCAAAAGGCACTTTTCTTTGCGGCACACAAAAACTAAATTTAAACCAAGGATCAATTACAATATCAGCAAAAAAAGTTGTGCAGAGAGTTGCAAAAGTAACACCTTTTCAGCAGAAATAAATCCTGTTGCTTTAAATGTGGCGGAAATAAACAGTGGAGATAAAAAACGAATGGAAGAAGAAAAGTCGCCAACACACTCAAAAGCTTCTTCATTCATGACAGTCAAACTTGACAGAGAGATACGGAACAAAATAAACGTCTCTTTGTTTGACAGAGTGAATCAGTTTTTTGCTGTAACAACACCACCTGATGTTACAAACGGATTCGAAACCCGTCGCAAGAACAGCGCAGTGGAGATCGCCGAGTTTGACAATAAAAATGACTGGAAAATCAAAACCCCAATTTCCGTCCCACAAAGTGTTGTCGTGGTTCTTCCAAAAATATTTCACGCTTTTCAATCAAATGTCATTTACAACGACTTTGTAAATTATGTAGACAAAATGGAGCGAATGCAGTCAGTTTTAACGTTCCCCTCTGCACTTTGCTCGGCGATTGCAACAAAAATGTTTTCACTTCTTCGAAGTAAACCAAATGCGAAGTTTGGAATTATCGCCGAAACGGGGAACTTCGAGTTGATTAAAAAAATACTTCAACACTACTTTGAAAATCTTGTGTACTGCACTTTTGAATCTTTTAATGGAAACGAAAAAGAACACCACGAAGACTCCAAAACGACGAAGGTTGAGAACAAAGAAAACTTTTTTCCTCGAAAAACGGTCACGTTTATCTCAGACAACAATGTTCCATCTTTTGTTCGCGCCATTACATTCGATCTGTTATTTTTGATTGATTTCACGCTTCCAAAAGAGCAAGAAGAACGTGGCGCAACTAAAACAACCAGTTTAGTCTTTGTAGATACACTCTTCAACAATAAAAGTGCTGTTACAAAAAATGGGCTTTTGTTCCGTGGGTTTTCTCCTTTGAATTACAGTGTGCTGACAACAACACCATCACCAGCCAAATTCACTTTGCTGAGGTTGTTGATTGAACGTTGTGGTGGGATGAGAAGGTTTGTTGAAAAAGATTGTGTGTGGAAGTCTATCGCGAAACAGCTTCTGTTGACAGAATCGATGAAGTCAGTGTTTGTTCTCCTTCCAAAAGATGACAAGAGTTTTGAAAATGTTATTACGTCATACGAAAATAACATTGTGAATGAAGATGAAGTTTTGACAAAAGTTACCGAATGGAGGACAACGCGGCTGACAAATCTTGTTGCAGTTGTTTCTTTCAATCCAAATTATGTTGGAGATGACATTGGAAAAATCAACTTTTCGAGTATAAAAGAGCTTCTTGTTGTTTTTCCACAGAGCTTGCAAACAATTTCATTATTTGGGGAAATCTGTGAGACACACAAAATCAAATTGACACTTTTGTGGAGCGGACTGCAAACTCTCCCGGCTTTAGGGTGTTGTGCCTTGACAACTGGAGTGGCGAGAAAACATCCGCTCGACGTCAATTTTCTCATTCGCAGCTTTGAGGAATTTAAAAACCAGAAATTTGTGCATTACATTCCACCAATCCAAAAAAGCGAGAAGTTTGAAATGGAGTGCGTAATATCACAGACTCTTTATGACATGTTTTCTGAAGAGCGGACACTTGACGATAAATGCACATTTGTCACAAGGAGAATTCCGTATCACGCGATTTTTGGAAATATTATTTATGGTGTTGTCGTTGTAGACCTCAAAGACAAAAGGTGGAAGGAGCAAATAGAAAAACTGGACGCTTTATGTGCATGCAACCGCATTGCAATTGTCGTAAAAATTGATGTTGTCAACACATTTGTGGAATTTAACAACATCATTTTACTCAGAAACTTCAGTGCACCAATTTACTTCGCTGAGAGTACGGAGAATATTTTCGAGATCTTGAGAAATGTGTGTGGAAAGCAAGAGGGTAAATTTGAATGGCTGATGGAAAAGGAAAGTTTCTTTGAAAACATTCTTTCGAGCATTTCAGGTGTGCAGCCATTCATGGCACAGTTTTTATCTGCTTTTACCATGACGGACCTTGTCAGCAAACCAGAAATGTACGAGGGGTTATTGCCAAGCACCATCTCGCAACACATCAACAACGTGTTACATATGAAATTTTGAATTCAAATGATGTTTTTGTTTATCTTTAGTTTGTTTTTAGTTCATATTTTGCTTTCTTTGTAATGACGTTTTCTTGAAGAACTGAAAACGACTTTTTGGCTATTTGGCAAAGTTTGACAACAAACTCCAAAATTCATAAACTGCGCCAGAAATGCAACCAACAAATTGTGAAGTGAAAAACATGTTTTATCGCAGTAGTAATTACTCTGTTTTAGTCATGAACATCGTCAATTATGGCAATTTGACTGTACAAACTACTCGGTATGCAAAAAGCGTTTTAAACATGGGTGGACAACAAAAATCGCTTGATGACAATTTTGAGAATGGTGAAGGCAACAAATTTCAAAAGAAAGAAAGTCCCACGCTCCATCAATGTAAAGAACAAAAAGACTCTCAAACCCCTCGGCGGGATCGGTCTCTTAAAGTTTCAAAACATCCACAAAATCTTCCGAAGTCAAAGACCGATTTTTTTGAAAAAAACGAGAAAGTCAAATTTTCACCGTCCATCGTAAAAAATGAAAAATCACCTCGACGAGAAAAACGTGACACTCCTGAAGTGATAAGGCAGCGTGGTCTTGAAAAAGCCACACTTCTTCTTGCTCAAATAGACAAAGAGGTATCAGAGATGTCGATCTCTGATATCGATCAGTTCTGCCACCCCCAACAAGGGCTTTCAAGTACACCACCAAAATCATTTGTTAGCCTCTTGCAAGAGTACACAAACAAACACCACTTTGCTGTCATTTTTGATTCGGAACAACACAGCTTGGACACTGCAACACTGTGGAGTATATTAAAAGGGCGGAGGAACATTATGATAGTTATAGAAGACACACGAGGAGACGTTTTTGGGTCGTTTCATTCGGTAGTTGCGAATGGGATTGGGATCTACTCGCAAAAGGATTTTTCGCACTTTGTATTTTCGCTGCAAAACACGTCGAACTGTCCAACGAAGTTTGGGATCAAAAAACTGGGTGAAGTGTTAAAGATTAGTGGAGGAGAGAACACGCTACTTGTGGTCAACGATTTCATTCAATTGAACCGAGAAGAATCGTTCTTTGTAACGCCAAAGGTGTTTTGGAGAACGTTTTTGGATGACACGGATAAAGGGACCAAATTTATAAGTGGGGAGGAGAGGGGGTTTTTCATTGAAAATGTTCAAATACTACAATGGGAAGATTAAGACTGTTTATTGAATTTTGAAGTAATAAAATATTGGTTAATAAGTGTCACATAGTATTTATACGAAACAGTAACACTCATTGTTTGGATTGGTCTGGTGAAAGTTTCTCGCCGGCGTCTGCGAAGGAGATTTTAGTCTCACTAGTTGACTGATCTGTCTCGGTTTTTTCGCGTGTTTCTTTGATGTCTTTTTGCTCAACTTTCTCAACTTTCGCGTCTTTTTCATCGTCAAATTGTTCAACAACGAAAGCGTCGGACCCATCATCAGCTTGTGTGTCGAGATCGACGTCAGAAGGTAACTCTCCTATTAACAACGCGACTATGTCTTCATTATCTTCTTCTAAAGCCAATTCCAATGGCGTTTTCAGTTGTGTGTTCAAGACGCTTTTGTCCGCTCCATTTTTGAGAAGCATATCGACAATTTCTGGTGTGGACCGAACTGCCCAATGGAGTGGAGTACTTCCAGAAAGGTTTTTGACATTAATCAATGGCTTCATTTGCGGGAACGACAGAAGGTATTCCAAAAGTTCTTTATAACTGTTGGCAACAGCATAATGTAAGGCTGAGTTCCCGTTTTCATTCATCACTGTCAAAATGTCGGCGTCTTGCCCCACAAAGGCTTTCACTATATCCAACTCTCCAAGGCGTACTTGTTCAAGAAAAATTTCAACGGAATCTTCACTGAATCCGTTCGTTTGCATTGGAGTGTTAACTTTATTTGTTCAATTCTTTTTTTTAACAAACCCTTCAATCATTTTGTTATTAAAATGTTTTTCATTTTGTTATTGTTTGTAAAAATGGTATTAAAATGTTATTATTTTTTTGAAACTTTCAAAAATAAAAATGGAATTCAATGGCATTTCAATAGTTTTCAATATTTCAAAATTATAATTTGTTATGAAAAATGTTTTGCTAAAAGAAAATGGGGTGAACTTTCAGGAATTGTTTTGAGCAAGACAGTGAATTATGAATTATTTAGGAAGAAGACGAGAACCACCAAAAAAATATGAAATAGAGTCTGAGTAATACTAAAATATTACTTAAATACTTTGAGGAATGGACCCCCTTCAACCTTGTGCACCTCAATATCTCAGATGTTCGCTTTCAACTCCTTTGTTTAGTCAGACTTCTCAAACACAACGCCAAAGTCCTTTACAAAGGTACTACGATGCACCTTCTATGGTTCCTCAAAGTTCTCAATACACTCAAAGTAGTCAGTTTAGTACAGTTCAAATACCATATTCTTTCCAGGTTGTACGTCCAGTGTTCCAGTCGTCATTCTCTCAAGTGACATGTGCACCTCTTACCTCATCTTGTGAACAACAAGACTTAAAGACTCAACAACAGTATCCACTCTCTACTTTTGGTGAACAAGGAGGTAGACACTCAATGACCTTTTTACAACCTCCACTTCTTAGAAATAGAATGTCTCCAATTAACTTCACTGTGCAAACAAAGCTAGATCCCATTACTTCATCTTTTAAAAATACAGAAGAACGCACCAGAGCCTTTTCGACTCAAACTATACACAGACAACATCTTGACCTCGACAATTTGTCATTCAAATCAGAAAAGACTACTCTCAAGTCCAAGTATTCCATGTCTGAGGACTTAGATATTGAAAAGGTCACATCGAAAGTGGACAAAAAGTTGATGAGTGCCTCGCACAGTCCAATTAGAAAAGCCGATATTTACACAGGTTTAACTGAATTTGATACATTAGAAGAAGCCATTGGCTACTTAACAGACTGGGCAACATCACAAGGACTGATCATCAGAAAGGGAAGTGCAAATAACAAGACCAACAAAGATGGAACAAGGAAGAAGCAAGTATTAGTCTGCCAATGTTCTGGGAAGTACCGAAGTACATCATGCAATCCCAAAGATACTTCTGGATCGAGTTTTGAAGAACCACACCAAGAACGAAAAAAGCGAAAGAGTAAGAAGACTGAATGCCCTTTTAGGATCAACCTCAATTTCAAAGCCAAACTTGGGAAGTGGAAAATCACGAAGATGGTTTTACAACACAACCACTTGTAGTTTTCATTCAATGAAAGCAAATTGTACCTCTTACGTGTTAACTTATTATTAGTATAGTATATTTAAAAGTAAATTTGCTATAAAATTTGGTTTACTGATAATTTGAAACGAGAGAAAAGTGTAAATTACTGGATCACTTTGTTGTTCAGTTTGAGGCTTTTTGGCTTTATTTTGGAAGAGTTCAACATTTTAACAACATTCGGACTGAATGAGACATCTGCACTCTCAAGTTTGTCTGTAAGTGAAAATGTGTTTATTTTGGCGCACATGTTGATCTTCAAATTCACCAATTTGTCACACCCTTCCACACAAGTCAAAGTTGGAATCCCAACTAACGAAATTGAAGTTACTGTGTCCATCAGACTCAGTTTTGTAAGTCCGTTAAATGTTTGAATACTCAAATCTTCAATTTTTGCTGTTTGAAGTACATCGGCATTTCCAGTACACATCCTTAAGATGATAACTTTAACAGTCTCAGGAATCTTTTCAGGAATAATACAGTTGACCAATGTTAATGAAATCGGATGAACGTCAAATTTCAAATTTTTGTTTTCGGTGATGCCGTCGACTCTCATTTTTCCGTTGATCTCCAAACTTGTAATAGTAGATGGTATAAGCATCGACAAGTCTTCGTTTCGGGTTGTTTCTATTTTCAATTCTCTGAGTTGTGTGTGTGCTCTAAGATCATTTTCAACATTCCCACTATCTCGCATTTCTTTTAACATGTTTTCTTGTCGTTTGGTTAACTCTATTTGCTCCTCTAACCGTTTTCTCTCGTACTCTTTTCGTCTCTCGAACACATCATCTTCAGTTTCTAGTACATTTTGGAAATCGTCGTTTTCAGAGTCCGAATCAGACTCTGAATTACTCTCTTCAAACAACTCGACCCTCCAATCTCTTCTTCGCTTGTGTTTTCTGTTCTCCACCTTCTCATCTTGTTTTTCAAGTTTTTCGACGTCTTCCACTTTCCCTCCCCACCACGTTTTCTTTTCTTTTTTCTTCTCAAAACTTTCATGGTCAACCTTTCTGGTAAACATCTCGTCGGGCATATATTTGTGGTAGGTGACGTTATCAATATTGGGTTCAACCCAGAACTCGGCCTTCTCTTGAAACTCCAAATTATTTCCTTTGACATTTCTTCCAAACACAACATCTCCAACAAACACTGCTTTTTGTTTCATAACGACATCTCCCTCAAACTCCACCCTTTTGTTGAACGTCACATTGCCCTCAAACACCGAAGACCCGCCAAAGTGCACTTTATCAGTAAAAAGGACTTCGTTATAAAACGTCGCTGTTTTGTTGAAAGTGGGTTTGTTTTTAAACGAGACGTTGTTGTAAAAAACAACATCATTCTGAAACACGGAAGTCTCCTCGACCTCGGCATTTTCTTTTTCCGCCTCAGAGTATTCCAATCTCTTGACTGTCTCGCTCAATTTCATCCTCCCGATGAAGCCCTTCAGTCGTATCGTTTCGACATGAAAATCTGAGAGATTGACAGCAGAGCTGTTCTGATTTACTTCAATAGTTTCAAAACTATACATTTTAACCAAGTTGTTGACTTCAGCACTTGTTGCCATTTCTGCGTTGATACAAATCCCACGTTTTGTTTGTTCGGCCGAAAAAATTGAATTTTTCGCAAAGGAAAGTAACGTTGGTGGTATTTCGCAGTCCAAAACGACTTTAAATCTCCCACTCATCACCGCAAAAATTGAGAAAATTTTTTGAAAACCTTCATTGTCTTTAATTGTTTTTATTATTATAGTTCCTTCATAGTGTTTTTGCGTGTCGTTCACGACATTTGCCAAGTCTATCCACGTCGTTTTGGAAACCTCAACCCAAATTGTGATATTTTCAAGATGTGGTAAACGGTGGATTGTATCTTTCAGACTTATCAATGAAATAAGTTCTATCGTTAATTTTCTTGTTCCCAAAAAAAGGTTGAAGAGTTTTAAAATTTGTTCGGCATTGGAAAAACATTTTATCTCATAAATGTTATTGCCCAAAACTTTCAAAGCGGACATGTTTGTGATTTTTTCGGTTTTGTGAATAGTTAAAACTATTTTAGATTGCCTATCTAAGAGTAGTTGAGTACACGTGGCGTCTTGTAAGTTCTGAAGACCACAGTATATCACTTTCTCTGGAAAATTTGTCAACTCCTTTTTAAAAGTTGAGTTAACAAATAAAGTGTTATTCGTCAAAAACTCAGCACACGTTGCAATTCTTTTAGAAACACATAATAAATTCACAAAATCGCGTTTTGTTGTGATTCGAAATAAAATCTGACAAATGTCTCCTTTGCGCAACATCACGTTTTTTGAATAGATGATCTCGCTTTGATTTTTATTGTAAATATCGCCTCATATGAAAATGTTGTAATAAAATAAGTGTACTATTTCGTTTCGTAACTTTTATAGGATATAATGGTACATTTTTATTAATAAATAAAAAGTTGAAGTTGAAAAGAAATTTTTTTTTTAAATTATATAGTTAATTAATATTGAGTAAGTAATAAGTAAACTAATTGTTTTTTTAATTTAAAATAATAATAAATAACTAAATTATAATTAAATTATAATACAGTGTCTAAAACAATTCAAATTAATGAAGAATTAAAATAAAACTATAAAAAACCATAAAAAGCTATACACCCAATGTTGAACTTTTAAGCTTAATGAGTTCATTTATCAGTGATTACTCGCAAAAACACACTTTTGATGATTACGTGAAGATACTTAAACAACTTCTTGGTTCCAATACAGAAACTTTGAACGAACACTGGGGTGTGATATGGGCTTCTTTGAGCACGTTACTTGAAATGACTTTAGGAACACTTGCTTCTGGAAAATTGAAAATTGGTTTGTTTTTTTATTGATTATTAATTTGTTAATAGTTAATTTATAACACACGTGGATTTCTTATAATCCTTTTCATGATTTATGGTTTTTAATAATATAACGAAAATATATTAATTATGTTAATATATTAATATTATTTAATTTATGAATTCCATGGTAAATATTATAATACAATTTTAATACATTATTTGAAAAAAATATTGTTAATTTAATTAATATTATTTACTAAAAAAAAGCGAGTGAAGACAGTGAGATTCTTAAAGGTGAATTTATTCAACAGTTACACATCATCGATTTATCGGAAGAAGCGAACATTCATTTTAATTACGCGTTGGACAAAACGAAAATTTTTGAGAACAAAGATTTTATGAAAATCTCGCAAAATCAGAGTTTTTCAATCAATCGATTTAACATTCTTTCGAGAGCCCATAAAGAAGAAATCGGACAATTGATACAAACACATTCCCCTATCACTTACACTTTTATGATTAAAACAGACGGAGAAAACGCTACCGTATTACACTTTATCTATTTACCAATATTAAGATTAATGAAACAGTCGGCATCACCATATTACTTAATATGTTTGACTTTGGTATTACCACTCCCAAAAGAAAAGATATCTGAAAATATTGAGTTCAAAGATCCTCAAGATGAAAAATCCGAAAAAAATCTGGAAAAAACTGACACGAAAAGTGATGAAACGCAGAACGAGAAAGAAGCCAAAAGTGGGGAAGAACCTTTTGAAATAAAAGGCGAAAAAAAAGAAGAAGAAACTATCGACCCTGTTGAGGAAGGGATCAGAAAGGTATTTGAAAAGCAAAACACCAACCATGACACAATGATTCAATTCGAGGCAGTTAAAGGGTTGTCAATATATAGACACACTTTGGAACTATTGACTGACTCCATCAATTTAATGATATACAATGCAACACTTGATGTGTTTAAGTATATCACTATACAGAACTTCCAACCAGAAAAGGCAAAAAAGTTGGCGAAGGATAATATGAATAACACAATTCTTAATATCACAGAATGCTTTTCTCATGCTGTTAAATGCTTGATATTCCCTTCCGAATTTTCTGTCGTTACGGCGTTGCCACAAGTTTTGTCGCCAAAAGATGAAAAAGACGGTAAAAAGGAGAAGAAAGAAAAAAAACCGGAAATGCCGTTTAACGCCAAATTCCTCTCAATGGTATTAACAGCACATTTAGAAACATACTTCACCATTGTGTTGGTCAACACACAGTCAAACATCAACTTTTTCCACACGATTTTTTCGGCTCTAAACCCGCCCAACTTTTCTACAACAACAAATATTCCATTCACTTCGTTTCCGTTCTTTTTACCCAAGAAAAACATGTTTTTGCGAACTATATACATAACAGAGCTCGAACAAAACTCGCTCTATGATATTCCTCTGCCTTATTGTGTTGTTAATTGTCTTTCAATGCAGGTGGCTGTCTCGAAGAGTGTGTCAACATTTGAGCACTTTTCTTATAGAGCGACTGCCCACATTGTGAGGGCAGCAAAGATATTGCACTGCCAAATTCCCATTGCTACTTTACCACCAGAAAGGAGTATTCGAATGTTACAAAGATGTCCAACAACAGAAATCATCTCGAACAGAATCCTGAACTATTACTTCTCAGGAAAACAACATTTGTGTTATATTGAATTGTCCAAGTTCATCGAGTACTACCAACAGAAAGCTCGGATTGTGTTGTCTGTTGTGAAGAGTGGAGGTGTTCTTGCAGACATATTAACAGAGCTTGAAGACATTTTTGTGTGCAACGAAGCCGATGAGATGATGCTTATCTTAAGTTTTTTGAAAAGCGACTTAGCTTTGACTGCGAGGTTCTTTGCGTTGATTGAGAAGAGAGTGCGTATAGATTACTAACTCTTGTTTTTAGAACTGGCTTTTCCGTGTATTTTATCTTCTTTTAGTTTGTTATAACCGTGTTACTATGTTGTTTAAACAATGATTAAAAGTAGTTTATTAATCTGAACATTACAATTTGTATAAGCTTCTAATATTATTTTTCGTCGTTGCCTTTTTTGCCCAGTCCGTCTCATCAAGTCGAACACATAAGCCTTTATCAAATGAAATTTTTTGTTCTAAATCTTTTAAACTCGTCTATACATTGATAATACTGATTATTATGTGTTCCATCAATAATACAATGAAGTCCATTGATCTCATACTCGCAAATAAACTGTTTTTTCACTTCATTGTTCTCTCGAGATATTGTTTCTGAGTTTAGATGTGAAGTCTTTCTGCTTAATACTTAGAAACTTCACATAGCTTGTTTTTATATGAATTTTTACTCACCCTAGTGCATTTAATTCAACTTGGGCATTTAAATATCCATTTTACGTCTCTGAACATCTATAAAAGTCGTTATGGTAAACGTCTTCATCAACACAGTAACATTTCTCATTGTTACAAATCATTTTTCTGCACTTTTATTTACAGATAGCATCATCACAGGCTCTTGACTCTTCTCTTTAGTTTTTCCAAGAGACCACAATGACCTTTTTCACTCTCATTTGAAATTTCTTCATATTCACATGGAATAAAGCCAAATGGTATTTGAGACTTGTCAACACATTTTGTGCCTGAGCATATATCCGAATTATTAAAAACTCGAAAAACAAAATGTTGTTGAGATTATTTAGTTCTTCACTATATCAGTCATACAATATAATCCATCTTCTTTGCAATCAAAATTACACTCCGTTTTAATTGTTAAAGCTAATAATATGAAAATGAAAAACATTAAAATGTGAGTTGAACTGGGGCAGGCTTTTCCCACCCTCACCCCGTCTAAATATAGAATTTATTTACTATATTTTATAATTTTATAATTATAATTATAGTAAATGGGCGTTTTGGATAATATTAGGTCTGGTTCCCGAATTCAAGAAATGCCGAAAAATCACCTCGAGTTAGTGAAAACCGAGTGAGACGGAGCATTGAAAAGAAGGCTCTGAAGGCCGCACTCAAACAGTCTGTTTGTGCACCGTTTCACCCACTTTCCAAGTCCTCCCTTGGCGCGGATCCCCCCTGACCCCCTTGCAAGCGGGGGGGAACCACATCCGCGTCCACACAGTACGGACAAGGAAAGTGGGCGACATGGGGACGCACAAACAGTGGCTGAAAAGTGGACTCCCTTCAAAAAACACTCGCGGCAAATATTTTATTTTGATAAACGGGTGGGAAAGGACAGTCCCGAGTTGAACTTCAACCTAAAAGTGTGTACAAAAAGTTTTTGTTACATTGTGGAAAGTAATCTGAACACAAAAAATTCAACTAATTTACTATATTTTAATTAATATTACATTAATTTTTCATAACTATAAATTTACTAATATAATATAATATATTGTAATAACACTTTCTATATCTTATTATTTTTATGTTTTTATAAAGTTCATCATAATCAATAATATTTTTGATATCGGAACTTGAAATACCTTTTTTTTCAATTAAAAAAAAAGAAAAATTAGAAATTAAAAAAATTTTCTAAATAACCTGATTTAGTAGATAAATTACAATTTTTTACGATATTTTTCGAACACGAAAGTTTTATTACAATATTTAATAAAAAAAATTATAATTTTAAAATCAAGTAGTTAATTTCTATTTTTTGTACCATTTGAATTATGTTTAAAAATATTAAGAGTATTTTTTTGTATAATATATTATATTATATATATAATATAATACCAGTTTTTACTTTATTTTTGTTATTAATATCACAATAATATTGTTTATTCATTTGAAAAGTTTATAATGTTAATTGTAATATAAAATATTAAATACTCTTCAAAAATTTGTTTTTTTTGTTTTCCGGCATAAATTTTAATATTTCTAAATTTTGTTTTTATAAAAATGATACTATAATAATACTATATTATTTATATTAAAAAAATCACCACAAATAAAAAAAAATATTTTATCAGTGACGATAATTTTTCAAAACTCACATTTTTTTCTCATTAGTAATAAATTTTTTGATTTATTTATTTTTGTGTTCAAATTTATTCAATTTCAAAACAAAAACAATAATTTTTAAAAGATTTTTGATTATTTTTGTAAAAAACCCAAAAACAATTTACATTTCAGTTTGATTTCAGTGTTATAAAATTAAGTAAATTGTTATTCTAAAATAAGAAAATATGATCACATATTAATACAAACTATACTCAAACTATTAATACTTCTAATACAACAACACTGATTAAAAGACTTCAACTACAAATAACAATAGACGATGAGCAAAATAACACCACCCCCTCCACCACCGAACCCAGTCGATCCAAAACGGACTTCAATAAAACCAAACGCACCACCACCACCCAAATCGACTATAATAGATTCACATATACGAAGACCATCGCGTAACATGTTACAACGAAAAGAATCAATCGACGACATCAATTTAGTCTTACAAACAGAAAAGACAAAAAACCCATTTGGTCTGAGTTCATTGGCTGATGACACGACAACACCAAAGAAGTCAACCATGACCCCAAGACGGTTGTCACTTGGTAACACGTTCGGAAGACTTTCAGACGTCCCCTCTTCTTCTTCAAAAAAGAAGAAACACAAAGGATTTTTCAATTTGTTCAAGAAGAAGGAAGACGAAATTCAAATCAGTGAGCCGGAAATGTTTAAGAAGACGATGAGTGTCAGGGTAGACACCGCTATTAACCCTTTTCTGAAATTCGACGGAAAGTCGGAAAAGGCGATCATCCCTATTAAACCCCCTTTACCTATGCTGAACAAAAGAGACGTCAAATGTCGAGAAGAGTACTTTTCTCTTATCGACCAAATGGTTTCGCAACAATTACTTTATGATGAATGGAGTTCACCTGTTGTTCCTATTGAAAAGTGGACTATGAACTATCCACTTGGATGGGAGAAAAAGTGTTTAGTCGACACCACTTCTATTAAAGATGGGTATTGTATTGAAATTGGCGAGAATGCAGAAACTCAAAATACTGAACTGAATGATTATTACTTTGTAGATGTCACTGCAGACTATTTGTTCTTTGGAAAGTATATACAAAACAATCGTTTGTTCTTTTTTAATTATTAATTTATAATTATTAATTAAATCCATTTAATTATTAACTAACTATTAATGAACTATATTTAATCATCTATTCACAACAAGCCGAAGCAGAACACTACGTCTTGGCCGATTCGAAAGATCCGGTATCGGTAAGTACCGTCCCATGTAAACACGATAACTTCAGAAGAGCTTTTGTCTGTTCGAAGCGTGGGTTCTTGCGATGTTTTATACCAAATGAAGTGACAAAGATTAAAGACTACTCTGAGGTGTTTCCCGATATCTCAAAAGGACGGTTCTTTAAAGTTGGGAGTCAAAAAAAGAAGTTTGAAGATGAGATCTCTCGCATTGAAGCGATGAGTGCGGTGACCCATTACAAATTTGGAGTTTTGTATAGGAAAGCGGGTCAAACGACAGAGAACGAAATGTTTGGGAACACAACAGCATCGCCAGCCTTTTACAAATTTTTGGATTTGATTGCGACGAAAACGGAGTTGAAAAATTTCACGAAGTACCGTGGTGGATTAGACGTGAAAAGTCAATCCACTGGGTTATATAGTTATTACACGACTTTTTGTGAATATGAGATCATGTTCCACGTCTCTACTTTATTACCAGAACAACCAAATGATTTACAACGTGTTGAAAAGAAGAGACATATCGGAAATGATATCGTCGTTTTTATCTTTAAAGAGCACAACGACACTATTGAACAGTTCAATCCAACACTTATGACTTCACAATTCAATCGTTTGTTATTCTTAACGTGTACTTACTATTAATAATTATTATTATACTATTATTATCTAATTTAAATGAACCTAATCTATAACTTTGATATATATTATTATTAATTAATCTGTATTATTGTATAGTTATAATATATATAACTATATATATTGAACAATAAAATAACTCAATAGACGTCTTTGTCATTATCGACCCGAACACAAACGGCGAAGATAATGACGGCTATACAATTAACATCTCTTGCAAATCATCTGTATCGCCATTCCCACCTTTCATGACAACAAATTATTACCCACACAATCAAGAAACAAGAGAATTCATCTTGAGAAAAGTAATCAACGCGGAAAGAACTGCACTCTTTTCAACCGCCTTCAAGGGAAACGCTACCAAGACACGCGCACAGCAACTCACATATCTGTTTAACAGCATAAAGGAGTGATTTTGTACACAATTATTATTGTATCATGTTATATAGTTTATTATAGTTCATTTTATAAACAGTAAAAACAAATTGTATAAATATAGTTAAATTTTCGATTTGGTTTGGTACAACCCTAGAAACACAACAATACACAACAATTCTTTGATATTTGATAACAAGAGGTATTATGGCTCCAATAAGACATTTCCACACTCGAAAGACACCCCATTTTTACATTGCAGTTTCACACTGGCGATTTTTCCATTGAAGTGATCAGCTCTTAAAGCATATGGTTGCCGGTAATCCATAAAGAGTGAAGACTCGTTTGTGTGAAGAGATGGACTCATACAATTCCAAGGAGGTTGTTCTATCACAAAAATGTATGGTTTTGATGGTGTCACACTACGACTTGATAACACACATGAATAAGATGCTATGTATTAACATATAAGATTCATTATAGTTTCAATAGTTTTATATTCTAACTATATATTATTATCAATATTATTAATATAAATATTAATATATATATAGTGAATTATAAATATAGTAAAACAAACGTTGGACTAATACAAGAGTAAGCAAAGTCAAAGCCCCCGATAAAAATACAAAGAGAATGAGATAGAGGAACAACTTTCGAGTTCGCTTAAACATCAAAGCAAGACATATCACCAAAATACTTGCTGCTAAAAAGAGACTCAAATAGATCTGTAACGTGGCTCCCATCAAAAACGTCAAAGCGCATGAGACAATCCCAACAGTGAAAATCACACACCACCGAATAACAACGTGAATAACAATTTCAAAAAACATTTGTTCATTGGGGGTCTCAGTTGATGTTGGAAGTGAAGAACTCTTTTCTGTGTTCTTCAAAATGTTATTTGAAATTGTTTTCAAATGATTCCAGACACGATCTTTACACCACTGTGTGACATCATCTTTCCAATCACATCTCCAATAAGAAAGCCAACAAAGGAAACTGGTAATTATCGTCCACACCCATACCATCCCATAATTCGGGAAGATTCCCACTTCCAATAACGAAAGTAAAGTAAAAAAGATAGCAATGTACCAGACGACATTTTGTGGGCCAAGACCAGTCAACGCATTTTCATTCGTTTCGGTGTACAAAACGCTTTCTATGACTTTCTTAATCTCCTCTGCCACGTCATCAATCTTATGGAGATGTTGAAATTCCGTGTAAATTTCTTTCATTGACGTTATAATATAAGGAAGTAAAGCTACCATATCAACACTTAAAATTCCATCAGGAAGAACTTTGACTGCTTCAGGGTAAATCTCTTGTAAATTTTGCGCCAAAAACCCGTATTTTTGGGTCGAAAGGTCAGTCTTATAATAATAGGAATACCCAACAATTTTTCTAATGTTTTCTAAAGCACTTTGAATTCGCACAATCTCCGTTTTATACCGTTCATCACTCCGTTGTAAATAGCCCCCTTCACTCATCATCGTCCCAGCTACACATAACCGTTTGATGTTTGCATTCACTTTTTGAATCGTCAAAAAATCGTCCCGACACACGGCGACAACCGGTTGGGACATTTGCGATGGAATAACATTTTCGGCGGGCAAATAACATTTTTCTGTATATTGGAGATTGTCGGGTGTCAAACTATCGACTTTGGGCGGTGACGTGGATTCGCATTCGTCATCCGTGTCATTCGACCGTTTGCCCGTTTTGTATGGTTTTCGTTTTCGTTGGTTGACCGTGTCTGTGACAAATGCTATATACGACATACATGCCTTTTTCGCTTCTTTTCGTTTTTGCTCGGGAAGGTTTTTGTATGCAGTGCCTTGAAGGTCTGCATATAAAAACTTCAAGTGGGCGTCCCAGACGTGAGAAACCGCCTTGGTGTGAATAACATTTGAATAACATTTTTGATTTTGTATCTGAAAAAAACAAACGTTGTATTTCGTTTTCGGACCTTCCGTACATCCCGGAAATGTGCATTTCCATTCCTTGTAACGTATTCGCTTGGAAGAGCCTTTTTATCAGAAAATAATGTAAGAAAGGGTTATAAAATATGAAAAACAAACTAGACATTGTTTTACTCTTTTTAAAGATCTTAAAGTTCTTTGCATTTAATTTGAATGATTTATCCAAAATTGTCGCTTCAAGTTTTGTGTTTTTTTCTTATTTAATTATAATAAAAATGTTAATAATTATAATACAAAAAGTATTATGTTTTGCAAAAAAATAGAATTAGAATAATTATTGAAGCTACTGATTATAGTAAAAAGAACCAAAAATGAAATAATTACAAAAATATCAAAAAATCATTAAAAATGAAAAATTAAAAAATTGAAAAAAAATATTAAAAAATTATTACAAAATTTTGACTTTTGAAATTGAACTTTCAAATCCTCAAAAAACGGAGATTATGGAAGATTGTTGTTTCGGAACGATTTAACAAAAGAGGGAATTCTTATGAGGAACAAAACAACCAAATTTTAAAAACTCCAATTAGTATTCAAACGAATGGACTACAACTCGTATGTTATACTTTTCAAAGACACTTGTGGACAATTACAACACGCAAATACAGAAGTCGACGCGGTTAATATATTGAACAAATTGACAGCTCTGGTCGAGCAACGGGTTTTCTTCGACGACGACGTTGTGTTGTACTGCTTTGCATCAATGCCAATAAATACTCAATCACTTCCAATCATGAATAAAATGGCGGTGTTAGTCCAAGAATTACTCGTAAGAGTGTCGCCCGAATTCATGTTCCACCAAATTTCTTTGATGCTTGAGCAGTTCACACTTTTTGAAGTGAAGTGTCTCATCAACATTTTTATCGTTTGTTCATGACGTTACTTTGATTTTTTTGAAGTCAAAGCCATTTTTGGTTATTTTTAGTATTAAAATTTGTTGTTTCTTTGACAAAAAGGAATTACAGTCGTCTGACACCCCTCTCAGGTTTAACCACAAAATACGCATCAAACCAATTGCTCAAAAGGCACTTTTTATCGCATCAGAGTATTTGGTACAAAAATCAAAGGCGTTTTCACTCTCACAGATTGAAGAATTTGAAATCAACGCGGTTGTTTCCCTCTTTAAATCCGCGTTTTTGATTGTAACAATGACTGAGGGGCCAATCCCGAACGAAAAACCACTTCCAAATGAAATTTCTATAAAACTATTTTCAACAGACTTCTTCAACGCACTCGACAAGTTTTTGGTGTATGGGCCGACAAGAAATGGTACTGTTGATGTGATTCAGGGGGTATCCGCATTTGAGTTTGAGAGTAAGACCATGAAAGATTCGTTTTTAAATTTTGCCTTCGCCGAGTTGAACAAACTGTTTGACTTAAACGACTCGCTTGCAATTTCGCTGTCGAACACGTTTGTGTGTTTATTTGTTCCGACGAGTTACTTCACGGCGCTCTTTTTTGAACACCTCGAAAAATTTTGTATCAATTTGGTGAGGTCCATCAACACACTTAACTTCGGCGACTTGAACGACCTCCTCAACTTTCTCGGGGCATTGCAGAAATTTGCGAAAAGAGATAAAAACGGCGTCATGGGTGTTTTTGATGAACGGCTCAAAAGAGAATTTCTTCCACTTTTGTTTGTTGGAATCACACACCTGAACCAAACGATTTTTTCCGAACTGTTGGCGACAAACGCGTTCGACCCATTTGTGGAGAACATAAGCCCACTTGTTCGAGATGTGAATATCCAAGATCTCCAAGTTCTGTTTGACAGTTCGCCGTTTTGGTATTTTGTTGTGTCTGCGGCGATGGTGACAAGAGACTACAAACAAACAGACAATAATTTGGGTGAGACAGTCATGGCAAATATTGCGAGGTGCCAAAATTTAACACCAGTTGTGTTGTTTGGTGTTATCACCTTTTTGGATTCATTCGTGTTATATCGGTCGATGTACGCGACAGACGCAGAGCTTGAAATCATAATTTTGGTGCTTAACAAAGCCTTGGAGTGCAAGTGCATTTTGGCCAAAACAACAAAACTGATTGAAAGATGTTGTTTGAACGCAAAGATCCTCCAGTTTGTGCAAGCGTCGAAACTCGATATGGTACTTCTCAACATCTCTCTTGTTTGTTGTTCCTTTACTTTTATTGTATTGTGTAAATTTGAAATAATCTGACTCAATAGACCGTGAAAGACAATCGTTTCCTTCAAAAATTGATCCGAAAAGCGATGTGCAAAATGTTGAGCCCAATGTGCTTTGCAGCGGTGTTGAGTTTGCCTTTTATTGACCAAGTGCAAGTGTTTAATGATGTTTTGCACGATCTAATAGATGAACAACTTCCGTCTCTTTACTTCGTCTTTGAACAATTTGTGAAACAGAGAAATTTGGATCCAATTGTAATCAATGCGATGGCTGAAGAGGAGCAAATTCATGTTATCAAGTTGTTGGCGGCGATAGGAAGCACAACGTATTTTGTACACAGCTTTCCCATTGAATGGGTTGGTGGTGTCGATTTGTTTGTTCATCTATTTGCTATTTCATGGGGGCTAACTCACCCAACGAGGTTCGCACTCATTTCGGCGCTTCTGGTCAACGAAAAAGTTTCTTTTGGGCAACTTGGGGCGTTTGCTGAATTTTCGCTGAAGACTTATGTCCAAACCGCAGTTTCACTTATTCGGAAAAACAAACCAAAGCGGTACATTTTATTTTTAGTTGGGCTTCTCAATTACATTGAGGTTCTGGATGATGACGACGTGTTTATTACCACAAGGGATGTCGTTAAAGTAGTGGAGTCGACACAACCGTTTGATGACGAGGTGAGCAAAAATGTTTTTCAGACCCTTGCGTTGTTTGTGCATAAATCGAGGGCGACAATTGACTTTTCAATACCGATTCTCCACTTGACCAATGTTTGTTTTTTAAATTCGATATCTCAAATGACGAATAGATAATCATGAACAACAGATACAGCAACTCATTTGGACAATTGTTTTTCACGTTACTCCATTCAACAATTGCAGTTTGCTTTTTACGAAGAACGTTGGATTAATTAAATTAAAAACTCACAAACAGCCGTTTGATTCCTTAGAACAATGTGTTACTTTATTCCCACCAAACATGCGAATTCGAAACTGTCTTATTTCGTTGTCGTCATACGAAAGTCCGGCCGATTTCTGTTTGTTCTTGAGAAACATATTAAATTGATTTGTTTGTATATGTCACACATGCGCAACGACAAAGTAAATTAAACTAACATACAAATCACTCAATTTCCATATAAGACGCGTTCATTTTTTTCTTCAAGTTTCCTTCTTCGCGTCTTTCTTCTTCGAGAAGTTCTTGTGTCTCATACTCGTCCATCCCATAATACTCCTCACCAAGCAACTTTAAGTCTTCTTTAAGTTGCGTTTTCTCTTTTAAATTTGAGTTTTCTGACTTTGCTTCGGGAAGGAGTTTTGCAGCGCCGAAATACATAAAGCGCTCTTCGAAGCGTTCATCCTTTTTTGATGCAACAACACCACCCAATTCAATAATCTTTCTTTCATAGGCACAACGTTCTTTATTCAATTTGTTTATTTCGATGTTTTTCGAACGGACAGTGTTCTCGCCAATCCCCGCGTTTTGGATTTCTCCAATTTTTTGTGTCATGTCTTTAACAACCATCTGCCGCCAAAACTTTGCTTCTTGTAGTGTTTTGCACATGTTCGGGGCTTTGGGCTTTGTCTGGCGATTGTCAACAAATGTGCCTGACTGCATCAACTTCCATCGGTTCAGCATCGATTGAGCCTTCTCTTGGTTTCGTGCCATTGAATTTTAAAGTTATTTGGTAATAAAGTTATAAAGTTTAAAATTAATATAGTTTAACACTTATTGATATTTATTATAATAATACCCGTCATGAGTTAACGAATTATCTAATAATGTTTAAAATGTGTTATAATTTATATAACTTATACAGTAAAACCTCCCATAAGCTGGAGGGTGTTGTAATTTTGTTCTCTCAAGAACGGGCATTTTTAGCCAATCAAACCTTAATTACAGCTCAATAGAGAACTCTATTTATAGTTTCAGTCTAAAAAATGCCCGCTCTTCAGAAGTACCGCTCTTGGGGAGTTTTACTGTATCAATAAAATAAAATTGAATAGTTTTTTTATTGAAATATCTACACATTTTTATTTATTTATTTATTTTAATTAAAATTATAATATCATAATAGTATAAAATAGTTTGTTATAACAATTTTTTTAATAAAAATTTTCAGAAATTGTTAAATAACAAAAAAAAACATTCTATTCTTATTAACTACCCCTTTTTAAAGTTATATTAATAATTTAATTCGAGTTTATGAAATAATAATTGTTTAAATATGAATTAATATACTAATACTATAGAATTTGTTTTTAGATGACAACTTTTTTGTTTAGGGGGTGTTCATGTTGTTATGAATGCTTTTATGTTGTTACAAACTCAATAACCACAACACAGAGTATGTTTATAAATCGTGACCAGTTTTACAAAAACGGGAGATACGACTTAGATCTCCTAGAAGAGCATTACACACATGGCGGTTCAGTAGACAAATCAACAGTTTCCACCATTATCACTGAAGCCGTGCAATTATTAAAAAAAGAGCCGAACATGGTCGAGTTGAATGAAAAAGTTTTAGTGTTTGGAGACATTCATGGGAATTACTTCAATTTTCTGAACATATTGAATGATGACCAATGGAAAGAGATTGACCATGTGAAAGTCTTTCTTGGTGATTATGTGGACAGAGGAAAATACTCTGTTGAGACGATGATAACATTAATTTGTATGAAGATCAATGAACCTGACAAGTTTGTTTCTATTTAAATCAAATATTTTATAATAGTGTAACACAAATGTAATAATGAATAGAGTTGTCTTGTTGAGAGGAAACCATGAATCACTTTCTATGACACACATCTTTGGATTTGAAAGGGAATGGGTGTGGAAATACAACAGCACATATATATGGTAT